GTCTCTCTCTCTCTCTCTCTCTCTCTCTCTCTCTCTCTCTCTCTCTCTCTCTCTCCTCACACACACACACACACACACACACACACACACACTGTGACACAGGCACGCACGCGCACGGCCGTAGGTACGTATGTAGGTATGCTGCCGTATGCACGCATGCACAAGTTCAGAGACACAAGCACACAGACGAGGCCGTTCGCAGGAATCATATAGAGAGGATCATGGCACTGTGACCATGTTCGGTGAGAGTATAAATAGTGGTGGACGGTGCAGAACTCGATCACGCGCTGTCCAGTTCTCATGCTGGAGAGTATCCTCCGGGAGTCCGGGGGCAAGTCCCACTGGCAGGGGGGTTAGTTTAGAACCCTAGTACGGTGAGACGTGAGTGACACTGTGACATACTATTGCCATTGGATCTTACCAGATCCGACGCCCATTAAAAAAAAGAAAAGGGGAAAAAAAAAAAAAAAAAGATAGTCTCTTTTTTTTTTTTTGGTGAGATAATTTGCGAAATACCCCTATAAGGCTATAAGTTGAGATATATGCCAGAACGCCCCTAAAAGATCTGGGTAGAGCCGAATGCCCTTTTGGGCCTAATTCTTTGCATTTGGCCCCTGTCAGGCCGATGTGCAAATTTGCAATCTGGGCCGTGTTGTTGGGGCCTGGACCTGCACCCTGTTTTACCTGGTTTGCCCTCCATACCCGGTGGGCAACTTTGGGCAATACCCAGGGCCGTCCGTGAGGTTCCCCATCTCCATCTTCTCCTCCTCTCTCTCTCTCTCTCTCTCTCTCTCTCTCTCTCTCTCTCTCTCTCTCTCACACACACACACACACACACACACACACACACACACGTGCACTCTTGGCCGTGTATATTTCCACGTTCTGCCAGCAGATTCATTGGATGTTGTTCATCCTGTGTGTGTGTGTGTGTGTGTGTGTGTGTGTGTGTGTGTGTGTGTGTGTTTCCGAGAATTTCTTTAGAATAAAAACTAGACTTCAGAAAAAAAAGATGTATAGTGCTCTCTTCTGGTTGACCTACAAACAGTCTAAAATTAGCACAGTTATTTGGGGTGAGAGCCTTTTGAGTGCTCTGGCTGGCTAGGAGAGACCGAATGTTTTCTCAGAAAGCCACCACCCTGGGCTCTATCTTCGCAGAATACATGCATGCTATCAGACTAGACATCATGTCTGAGTGGGTCAAAATCAAGAAGCAAACAGGCTCGACAGAATCTCCCAAGATTCGCTTCCAATTCAAGTGGGCCTTTCTACACTCTTGGGCCTACTTCAATGACAGGGACAAGCTCATGTACTCCGAGGCGGAGCTCTTGTGGGACCACCACCCACTCACAGACCTAGGTATTATGGATTCAGCAGGCAGCCCATCAGGCTGAGAAGGTCTGAGGTCCCTTCTGAGCTCGTAAGGGCACTGAGACTGAGCAGTGAGCAGCAGAACGCATAAGGCTATCAGAAAGCTATGTCATAAGGCTATCAGAAAGCTATGTCATTGAATCTAAAAAGGGATGCCAGACCTGATTTTCTTCCGTCATATGCAGAGATGCAAGAATTACTAGAAATATTTTTCTTGGAAAGACTTAGTACGCTGGACCTGGTTTCCAGCCAGTTTTCTATCTCTTCTTCTGAGGACACAGGACCTGCTTTCCAGTCTGATACCCAAGATAGGATGCTGGAGGCGACCTGTTTTTCAGCAATCTGGGTTGAATTGTGAGGGGTCCCCGGGGGGATAATCGGTAGAAGGCGCCCACGCCAAAACCTTTTCGGTTTTGGGCGCCCAAAGTTTAGCCGTTTGGTACTACCGCCCCAACGACTTGCATGTGGGGTACTACAGGCCCACGCGTCGCTCCAAGGGCCCTACCGGATCATGAATCTGGCACATAACAGAGCCAGATTCATTTTCATGTAAAACAGGCCGGCGGTGGTACCGCTGAAGTATCGAATGAGGCCCACGTACGCAATTTTGAAAAAGAAAGGCCCTACCGGTTCATGAATATGACGCAGAAACAGGGCCAAATTCTTGAACCAGTAAAAACAGGCCCAGGGAGATGTGGCCACGGCGGGAAGGCGCCTTTCACCCAGGGGAAAGTTGTTTGGGCCGGTAGTACCAAACGGCCGAACTTTGGGCGGCCAAAACCGAAAAGGTTTTGGCGTGGGCTCGTTCTACCAATTATCCCGTCCCCAGGCTCTGTTCTTGTCCTTTTAAGCCCAACCAATTCAATTACCTGTCAAATCTGGACAGGACGGCCTTTCAGGCCTTTTTTTCAATTGTCATTATAGTATTACGGGGAACCCCGTAGCAGCCACATCCGTGCTCAAGCCTCCAACGAGGGAACATGCAGGAGCTGCACTCACCAGCAGGTGCGATACCTGCTACAGCAGGTGGGCGATACCGGCCAGGGGTCAGCCGGTAGCATCAGGACGGAGCTTCTTCGATGGGCCAGTCACTTTACCTCCCCTCCGGTCCCCTCCCCCTATCCATTGGCCTAGCTCAGTTGGTAAGGCACGCAAGTGGCATTTAGGAGGTCTTGGGTTCAATCCCCATTGGCCTCATGTACCTTCCTGGGCGAGCTTGGCGCCCGCCACCTAGATATATGCCGTTGGTCCCCCTGAGTGGCGTTGAGCAGAGACTGCTGATGTTTATCACCGTTTTCTACCATATCATTGTCTTTTTTTTTTTTTTTTTGTGAAATTGATCAGGGGCCAAGTCCCACTTACGCATTGAGCTTGTGATACGCCACCTCACGCCCCCTTGCAGCTTCCCGTACGGGGTCGCCGATCAGAGTTCTAGGAGGGGCGTGGCCGAGGATTTTTGGCCGTAAGGGTTGAGTCTCCCGGACGGAACGGGAGGCTCTCGTTTCGTGGCCGAGGTTTTTCTCGGAGTCGAACTGTCGCCGCGGAGTCATGTGGGGGTCGAATCACTCCGAAACGCTAAAATCAAAAAGGTTTCCGCAAAAATGAACTGCCGCCATGCATCGGGACGGAGAAAGGCATCGAGG